CAAGAAGCAGCTGGCCAGGAGATACCATGCTGTTCTGTTCAATCCCAGAGGACCAAGGGGGCTCTTGCTGGATCAAACACCCTCTGAAGTGCTGTGCCAAAAGCACAGAAAACATTGTTTGGGGATGAAGACAGCAGTGGCACTCTCTTGGGCAAACACAGGAACAATAAATCAATGGTATGCTTGTACAAGTGGTGGTGAACAGCAGCACAGCAGGCAGCAGCCTGCTGCTCTGAGGCCTCCCAAAGCATCCCCTGGCCTTGCAAGAGGTCATGGCACACAAGCAAGTCCCTGCCAGCTCCCAAATGGCAGAAACAGCACTGCCATAACTGCAACATCATTACACCTTCATTTCTTTAGGTGGAAGACACATCCCATTTCCTCCCTGCACCCCGTGTCACAGCTGCCCCTTTGGTGTCTGGTTCCCTTCCCCTGAGGATGGGCAGGAAGCTCCAGAGGACAGCATCTGAGCAGCTCAGTAGGCAGCCAGCACCAAGCCCCAGGAGCTCCTCTGTCTGATGAAATCATCTCACAGTGTGAAGATCCTTGCAGCTGAAATTGAAAAGTTATTTATTTCTCCTCTAAAGGGGAATATCATCTCACTATGGAGGCTGTTTGTCCTCTGGGGCAGAATCTCACTTTTGCCAGCTTCTGTGTTTCTATGTGCTGGCTGGGAGCAGTGAGATGTTCTGGCAGGCAGGATGGAGCAGAGCTGGTACTCTGCTGCCCACAGCCTCCCTCTGCCAGGGCAGGTACAATGAGGAGCACAGCTCAGCAGTCCTCTCTCCATGGGACCTGGGGATCACAGCAGTGCTGCTAAGAGCATCTCTTGCTCCACTTAAGCCAGTCAGCAATGCAATGGCTGATTCTTCACCCTCACACCCTGAGGCATTGGACTGCCTTGAAAGGAACCATGGCTGAGGTGTCCTGCATGCTTCCTGGCAGCTCCAGGGATAGCAGTCTTCTTCACCCAAAGGGATTGTGAAGAGCTGGTATCTGTCCCCCTCGTGCTCCAAAGGAATATCATGGCATCCAATGTCCCTCCCTCTCCCAGGAGTCCTCATGTTCTCTGCAAGGGTGCTGGTAGGCTCTGCTGGGCTCTGCAGAGCCCCTCAAAAAGGGGCTTTTTCATGGGAATGCTCATTCTGTTCACTCCAGCAGGAACATGAGACCAACTTAAAATCACACAATGAATGGTTTTACCGCTATTTTCAGTTTTTTACTGCCCTTTCACTTATCATGAGTGGACTATTTCCAAGCATGGCCTAGTCTTGCTCCTAGTGCCATCTGCAAGTGGCACTCCACTGCTTAAGGCCAGTGCTCAGTGCCTTGCAGTATCCCACCCCAACAGAACATTGGAAAGCTTTCTGTGAATATTAAACCTACTACTCAGCAGGTGAGAGTTGAAGAAAGTGTCCAGTGCCAGTCTTTTCTCCATGCCAGCAGAATTGCTTTCCCAATCCTCACACATTTGGAAACCTCACCTGACAGAGGTGTGACTTACACCAAGCTGATACTGCACAAGATGATTTTTCAAGCTCTGGGAAACTAGGAATATAGGAACTACTGCAGGAAACCCTTGTGGTTGGTGCACACAAATTTCTTATTTCACTTGGATTTTACCTGCTTGCTCAGATCCTGTGCTAAGCAGGACTGCTTGCTTTGGCACGGGTAGGGGAGGGGTCCTACTTCGGGGCTGGGCCTCCTATTTAAAAGAACAATAAAAACCAGCATTCAGTAGTAACAATACACCTGTTCAGAAATGTGGATGCTTTTGCATTGCTGTCAGGCTTCAAACCCTGAGGGAACAGCTCATGCCAGGGCCAGCAGCACAGCGTGCCGATGGGGCCGAGTTTCCACTAGAGGGTTGTAGTGCTGTAAGGAAGCAGACGTGGTTACTGTGGCAGAAATATTGCAATGCATTCCAGGCCTTTGTCAGCAGATCAAAAGCAACCTGCCATATCCCAGCTTCCAGCAGGCTCTGCAGTCTCTGATGTGCACAGCCGGCAAGCTGGGAGAGGGCTGGTGCCTGAGCAGCCTGCTTCCCTGCCTTCCCTGAACAGCCTCAGCACCCATGTGACTCAGCACCTACAGCATGGCTAGAGACATAAATACATAGATAGATAGATAGATAGATAGATAGATAGATAGATAGATACATACATACATACATACATACATACATACATACATACACAGATAGATAGATAGATAGATAGATATACATAGATAATAGAGAGAGAGAAGCAAACACCCTGTGCCCATGCATTTGCACTGATGTACAGAATGTTAGGTTGTGCACCTGGGATTCTGATGCACGAACAGCCACGAGCTGTGGCAGTGGCACGCTGTGGCAGTGAGTCAGGCACCACTGGTGAAGCAAAGCCCACAGCCTGGCAACACGGCAAGTGGGACATCTAGCAGCCTCAGCACAATGAGAGAATCATGGCAGCATTCAGGTTGGAGAAGTCTCAGAAGGTCTTTGAGTCCGACTGTTATCCCAGGACTGTCAAGTCCAACACTAACCTTGTCCCTCAATGCCACATCTACACAGCTTTTAAATACCTCCAAGGATGATGACTCCATCACTTCCCTGGGCAGCCTGTTCCAATGCCTGACCACCCTCTCAGTAAAGAAATTTCATCAAATATCCAATCTAAACCTCCTCTGGTGGAACTTGGAGCTATTCCCTCTTGTCCTATTGCTTGGCTGTTTGAGAGAAGAGACCTTTCAGGTAGTTGTAGAGAGCAATAAGATCTCCAGTGCCACATCAGCGCTGAGTACAGGGGGATGATCACTTCCCTGGTCCTGCTGGCCACACTGTTGCTGATCAGCAGAATTGGGAAGCATTAGCTCTTCACATACAGCTGTGGCTCCAGGTCAGGAGCTGCCATGCTGTGCATTGCACCAAACACGTGCGCTGGCCCCTGGAGTTTTCAAGCCAGCCTTAAGCAAGAGCCATCAGAGGGGACTGCCACTTCTGCCACCAACCACATCCCCAAGTCCAGTGCAGCTCAGTAGGTCCTCACAGGTTCTTGCGTATGTGACCCCAGCATGCATGTTTACAGTGGTGTTTGTATTTTTGAATGTTTATCTGTAGAATCATAAAATCATAGACTGGTTTGGGATGGAAAGAACCTTTAAAAGTCATCAAGTCCAACACTGTTGCAAAGAGCCTGTGTGTGCAGCTTTCTGAGTAGACGGTGTGCTAAGTGCTGACGACTATACCAACAAGATCAGGGTGGTTTTGCTGCTGAACACAAAACCTGGAGCTGTGTAAGACTGTAAGAAAACCCCAAATATCACTGACATTACCTTCCTTTCACAGAAAGAGTGGGAAGGCAAATGCAACCACAAGGCCTGCCTGTAATATGGAAAACACACCGTGATATTCACCAAGAATTTACATAGTGATCAATTTATGTTGCCCCTGTTTGTCTGATACTGTCACTATTTCCATTTACAAATAGATGGAAAATGGATTTTGCCTACATTTTAATCTCTTTCATTAGCAGAAAGGTTTTGAGGAAGCAACTAGGACAAGTTCTTGCAAAATAAAACATTGGAACAAAAGATGGGCTTTGGCTCCTCTGAAAGATGACGTGATCATACCTAAGTACAACTATGCAAAAACCAACCATCCAGTTGACAGAGAATCACAGAATATCTGGAGTAGGAAGGGACCCACAAGGACCATCAGGTCTGATGGAGAGGCCACAGAGTGCTGTGATAGCTTATCTGACCCAAAATAGACACTTGAATCTTCTTCCCTTTATAGCTGGCTGGTGGAGAGTCACTTCTCATGCTAACAGGGGAAAGTAGGAGTTCAAGTCAGCTGTTTCTTGATATAGAGGACAAAAAAGCCCCAGGGGAGACCCAGCCATCTGGGGAGACCTGCAAGGTGGACACACAGAGTTGGGAGAGCCACCTCCCACAAGTGATGGTTTCCATTAACAAGTCCCAGACCTCAGGGAGACCAAACAGGCTGGGGAGCCGGGACTGATGCTGGTGAAGCTTCTCCTGCTCTGAACTGGCTAAGGGTAGTGGCAGCATGAGCCCTTGCTGATCCCAGCAATGCAGAAGAGCTCTGTAGCTCCAGACCCCTGGGGCTACCCCTCTCCTCCTGGAGTGCTGCCATCCCTTGGTGGGTTGACACCATGGGGCAGAAGGGTAGTGAGTCTCCACCATGGATAGGCAGCTGGTATCAGCTATGGAGAGAGCTATGGCAGAAAAGCATGATGTGAGGAGTATTTGGAGTGTGTCATGAGAAGGATGGGAGGAAAGGAACGTGAGTGCCCTGCCTGGGAATAAGGTGTCTCAGCAGCCATAGGTTGGAAGGCTAGATTAAATACATTTACTTACCTGTTCTAACCAGTGAGAACATTTATAATCATCACGCAATAAATGTGTCTATTATTAATCTTTTGCATCTAAGATTCCTGTAGAACACCAAAAAAAAAAAGAAAAAAAGAAAAAAGATGCAGAGGAGACCAACCATATACAAGCACCTTTGCCCCATGAGACAGCACCAAAACCCTCCAGCCTTGGTGTAGTACAAAGGCAGATGGCTTTCTGCACCTGCTTTTGTAAACAGCTCTGCAAACTCTCTTCTCACATAGCAAGGAGTCTCATTCCCTCCCGAAGGAGTCATAAAATACAGCTTTATCCATCCTGCATGCAGCAATCAGACAGGCTTAAGAGCTTAAGCACTCAGAGGGTAGCAATGTTTAAAAAGATTGCACAGACCTGTTTGCCTGCCTCGGTCTGCACCACTAATCAAAGCTCTCTTCAGCGTGGACCTGTGGGCCACATGGTCAGAGCTGGAAGCAGAGCACTGACCGTGCTCATAGAGGGGGACTTGTTGAGCTCGGTCCTCTCGGGGAGATCAGAAGCTCACACAAAGAGCCCAGTGCTCCTGCCCTGGCTCCGCTCTCCGGCCGGATGCTGAGCCACGGAGTGCTGGGATCACGCACCGGGCAAAGAAGACAGCAGCAGACACATTTCATTGCTTTAGACTGTTTTATTAAACACAGCAAATCAAAACAAACCCAACCCCGCTGGCGATACACCAGCTCCTCATTTACACACCACTCCTTTTCCCCGTTCTGGGAGAACAAAGAGGCTGAAGCATAAATGAGATCAGCGTGGTGAGTGTTACACACATGAATATTTATTTATCAAGGAAGACCAGAAAGGGGCCAATTTGCCACCCTCCTGCACCAGCAAGAGCTTGGTCATCAACGAGTTGGAGGGAAGGGTAGGTGAAGAGGCTGGTCCATGCCTTTGTGTGGGCAGGGGCGTGGGGAATGCTGGTGAACGGCTGTTCTTGCATCTGAGGGTGACTGGGGGAGCCACCAGTCAGGAACGACACTGGGAGGATCCTGGGGTTTGGGACAAAAGCCAAGCACGACACAGTTGTGAAGCAAGCATACAATGTCCCTTCCAGTCACGCAGGCAGCTTGCAAGATGCCCTTTAGGGAAAAAATTCTAAAGAATTAACTGAAAAGTTGTTAACATTCCTTGGGCGTGCCGAGTGCTCATGATAAATCTTTTTCCTGAAGAAAAAAAGCAAGGCTAAATCAAACTACAGAGCTTGTCAAGCATGAGATTTACAGAAATCTCACTGGGTTATGGGTTCATTTCTTAAACAGTTGAATTATAGCAGCTTTTGGGCATCAACATAGGAAGCGTGCTGACCCCCTCAGTGCTGTGGGGAGTTAGGGTATGAGCAGCAATGGAGAGATCGCGCTGGTTATCGTCTTAATGTGTATTTCAAAGTCACTTCCGAAAAAGAAGACGAGATAGTAGTTGAGTATTCCAGCCACAGACATGAGGAACAGGAACAAAATGATGCGCTTTCCAAACAGGTAACCAGGAGTGCTGAGGAGACAGAAATGGGGGAAAGCAATTTGTTGATGTGCATCATCTCACATGAGAATCCTCAGACTTTGGACTCAGCTGTTGAGACCAACTGAAAGACCTCAGGGGCTGAGAGAGAGGAGGAAAATTTCTTTTTTGTCTTGCATTGCCAGGCATTTGAGAGGACTTTAATGTAATTTTCAGGATCTGTTTGGATCTGGATTTGGTCTTCTGTTCTCAGTGTAGGCTGCTGCTTACAAAAGCGTCTGTTCAAAGGCACTTGAATATGCTCTCATCTATTACAGGCTGCGGGACACCTCTCTTTCAAATGCATGTAATTAGCTTTATTAATATAAATAAAATATAAATATTAATATAAAAGGACAATCTTGTGCAAATAGTGGCACAAACATGCAAACCCGTGTTTTTAGAGAATCCTGTGAGCAGGAGCTGCAGCCCCCTGACCCCAGTGCTGCTGCACATCCAACATCTCCCACAGCTACCCCCATTTATCCAAAAGAGAGTGGCTTTCCTGTACTACCCAATGCCAGCAGCTCTTGCAGGCAGCACCAGAAGCCAGTGGCTCTGCCTGTGGAAGTGCAGCATCCAGCTGTGCTGCTACTACATTCTGGATTTTTTAAAGAAGCTCTGCAAGTCCTTACCTCTGAGTTCTCTCCCCAAGGTAGCCCACAAAGTACTTCTGCCTCACAAACAGGTACATCAGGCCAGCAAAGGCAGCAGGAGCTGGGCAAAGGACAAAACAAGGCATTAACAACACCAGCCCAGCTCTCGCTGTACGCACTGTCCTCATCTGCTGCTTGGGCTGGAATGGAAACAGGAATCTGCAGTCTTGGATTATGGGACAAGCACTGGAACTAGGATAGAGACCTCTCCATGGGAAACAGCACTTGCGTTGCCTTCACTCCAGATTTTCTGAAAACTTTGTGGGTGTAATCCTGCACACAGCTGTGCTCACTGTGGAGCACACACCACCATCCTTCCAGTACCTAAAGGGAGCCTACAAGAAAGCTAGAGAGGGACTTTTCACAAGGACATGAACTCACAGGAAAAGAGGAAATGGCTTTAACCTCAAAGAAAGCAGGTTTAGATTATATATAAGGAAGAAGTTCTTCACTGTGAGAGTGATGAGGCACTGGCACAGGTTTCCCAGAGAAGTTGTGGATGCCCCATTGCAGTAAGTGTTCAAGGCCAGGCTAGAAGGAGCTTTGAACTACCTGGTCTAGTGGAAAGTGACCCAGCCCCTGGCAAGGGAGCTGTAAAAAGATGATCTTTGAGATCTTTTCCAACCCAAACCCTTCTATGATTTTGTGAAACCCAGTGTGGGCTGCACCAGGCTCAGGAAAGAGAGCCCCAACTTAGGCACTGTTCTCACCAGACACAGAAGGCTGTTGGTAGATGTACTTCACTAGGAGCAGGTGGAGGATACGTTATGGTCCAATGCTAACTTTTGAGCATTAAAAAAGGGGCTTTCCCCCATAATTCTAGCCTTTCCCACTCCCCTTCTTCTCCTGGTTAAGAAACTCGGGGTTTTTTCCAGAAAGAATAGACACGTACCCCAGGCAAGCACTCATCTCCATGTTAGATAAACTCACATTGCATTGGAGGGGATAACAATTAGAAATGCAGGTCAATAGTCCCAGGTGGCCCTCAGCACAGGGGAGAGGTGGCAGATCTGGCAATTTAATAAATTGAGCCCATTTTCTGTCCCAAGATGGAATAATGTGGCAATAATCCAGCAACCAAGTACTAAACCCTCCACCCAAAACAAAGGGAACTCATCCATAATGCCAGTATGGAAAGCGTCCCTGGCCTGGACTACCTTGAATTAAGTCTGGGAACACATCTGTTGACATAAGCCAAGCCATGCCACGAGTGTGCTGCTACTCCAGCAGCATGCTTAGCTCCAGGACAGGGGGGGGGTAAGAGAGGCTCCCCTGCTGCAGGAGGCTTGATCCCTGAAAGTGTAACTTCCATGGTGCTCACCATCCTTTGCTGAATGTGGTGCCAGGTTGAAGGGGAAAAAGAAAACAAACAAACAAAAGAGTGTTACCTTGGCTGCAGAGAAGGCCAGCACACCAAAGCACAGCGAGGAACGTAGGGTATGTATGTCCACAGTTCTGGCTGGAATGGAATTTATAGGAGAGAAATCAGAGCACAGGCAAATAGAAAAAATCAGTATGTTTCACCAGCAGAGACTGGTGGCAGGTGAATTTGGGCTGCACTAGTGCCCTTAAGAGCAGACTGTTACCACAGAGCAGTGGGAGGCCCTGAACTGCCAAAGGCTGGGCTCCTCACCCAGGTCTGCTTCCCTGTTTTCTCGCTCAGATAATGGATGCCTTTGTGCTGCCTGATGAGGAAAACAAACCATCCTGTGCCTGCCTGGCACCTGTGAAAGCCACTTTCTCCCTAACCTGTTTGATCATGATAGGTGCTGTGAACTTTACTGACTTAAAGTCCTTTTAACTGAGTCATATTAATAAAGCTATTGGATGAAACCAACAAATGTAGAATTGCATCACAACTAAGAGTGTCTCACAGAGTTAACACGTGACTTTGCAGGGGAACAGGAATGGAGTTCAGCTGCCTCCTTCAGCTGTGAATGCTTTCTGAGGGGGAGAAGTGAAGAAGTTGAGAGTGATTCCATGTGGAAAAGGAGTGGAGAAGTGGAGAGCTGTGTGCCAAGGGTGGTGCCAGAGACCAAGGGATTTGTGTCAGCTCTGCCACCTACCTGCTCCTCAGTAGGCTGATGTCTCTGCTGGCCCTTTCCTTTTGAGCCCTTGACACTCTGGCTGTGTCAGGGAAGAGTGAACTGGTTCCCAAATGAAGGGACACAATACTTGTGATGGCTGCAAGACCTATATACATGCAGCACATGGTGGCAAGAAGGGTGCTGGATTCAGCCAGCAAATATATCCAAAAACCTCATGTCTGAACACTGAGCACAGCCAGGGATTAAGTACAAAGCCTTCATCTGAGGCAATCTGGAATCCACCCCTGGCCCCCAAAAGGGTTTGGATTTAATTTTAATGCAGAGCATGATGAACCCCACTCTGCCCTCACCGACTCCTCAGTTCTTGTCTACTTACTTGGCAGTGTAGACACGGTCGAAGGAGGAGGATCCCTGCCGCTGCAACACCTTCCCATTGCAGTGTCTGCTTTCATGCTCCACTTTGTTTGCAAAAAAAGCTGTTAAAAAACCACAGAGTATTCAGTCTGAGATGTCACCTGAAGATATTGCAGAAGCTGGGCATTGTGGGCTCAGCTCTGTTCCCATGGGTAGCTGGCAGGAGAAGACACAGGTGCATGAGAGTGCAGGATGTGGCCAGTGTGCTTGCTCGGTCACCCAGGTTTAACCAAGCCCTCCATGCATCCCCAAGTATGTGACTGCTAGCGGGCTCTCTCACCTCCAACCCCTGCTTCATCCCAACTTTGCACTTTGGGCAGTCTCTGCATCTCTGCTGCAGAAGCACTGCCCTGACCTGGTCCTTTGAGCTCCCAGTGGGAAAAGAGTTTTCCAGTCAGAGCTGCCAACCCCAAATCTTGCTCTCCAACAGAGTAGGGAGACAAGGGAGTCTATTCTCTTTTAGTGAAACCCATTTGCCAAACCAAGGACATCCTGCAGGGCTGCTTCTTTTCCCAGAAAGGCCCAAAGAAAGCCTGGTCTTAATGGCTGATTTGTGTGTATCCTCCTTTTAAGGAACAGAGTTGTGTCAGAATGTTAGCTGCTGCAAAAATGCAGCACCTCAAGATAATGCATCATGCTCTTGACAAACACGTTTTATCTGATGACACTAAACCAGAGACCATCAATCATATGTCTAAGTACACCAGAGAGAGCTCTGGCAGCCTACAAGCTGCAAGCTTTCTGCTGTCGTGCACCCCATCTCAAGTGCTTCCAAATCACTCTATGGCTTGGAATATTAACCTAATATATACACATGAAAGATAGCCCATCAGGAAATACATTATTATAGCAATAAAAATTTAGCTAGATAAGCTGCAGGATTTCATCCCTGCAATCTGAAGAGTAGCCTCCTTTTTTTCCCCTTCATCGATGCTGTAAATAGGTCCTTTGTACTTCCACTGCCTTTAACAAAAATGACTGGGTTTTTCCGTTCCCAGTATTGTGGGATCCCCTGGGTACATACAGCCCTTCTGCAGAAAAACCCACAGTGCTTTAAGCCTGCACCTCTACTCTGAGCCAGGCTGCAGATCCTCCCACAGCCACCAGCACAGTGCGCTGGCTCCTAGGGGACCCAGACCAGGCATCATCCGGTGGCACCGAGTTCTCAGCATCTCCATCTGCACACCAGCACAGCCTTTGGCAGGAGGTTACCCTGCCTACAGCCACTAAGAGGACCTAATTGAAGAGGACAGAGTTGATCAGCACTTTTTTGTCCAGTGCTGAGCTGCAGCAATGGACTTCCTGCAGGTCTGGGACCCCATGGACTCACTGGTAGCACACCTCCTCACTTTCTTTTATCATGCTTGAAAATCTCAAGAAAATACCACATACTTGGCTTTCCTTTTTCTGACAAAGCCAAGTAAGCTATTTATCTCCCTCTCCATTGCTGCAGGTCCTGCCACTTCCCAATTATCAGCTTGCTGCTGCAGAGAAGTTCCACTATGCTAGGAGGCAAGAGGGTGCTTTCACAAGCCATCATGAGAGGAGTGAGCAGAGCAAGGCTGGAGTGGAGAGGTTTAATTCACCTCAGTTGTTCCAGGAGATAATTCCCTGAGGCTCCAAGGTTCCACAGACTGCCTAGAGGCTGAACAGTGGCAGTCCCACTCTGATCAAGGTAATATGCAAGAGTTCAGTATAAGCCTGGTTGTTACACAAGTCCATGCAAACAGAAACTGGGAGCTGATGATCCCATATAGCCAGTGCTTGCGAACATGCCCCTTATTTCTCTCCACTTTGCTTTCTCTGTCCTGATCTGCTCAGCAATGATCACTGACTTGCCCTGAAAGATGCTGGATTGCAACATATCTCCGGTAAAAGAGCAAAACTTTAGGCTGCATGCGTCACTCAGTGGTATGCGGCCACTTGAGTCATTCTGTAGGATGTGGAGATTCCATCATGAACAAGATGACAGTAAATGGATGCCAGACCGGGACAGCACCACAGCCCACCTCCATCTTCAGGAACAACAGCACTCAAACTGTTTTCTAGTCCTGCACCCTGTGCAGAGAAGTATTTAGTCACAAATTTACGTGGTACTGACTTCATGCGCTCAGAGACAGTCAAGCAGAGGCCCAAGTGCTTTGCTGAATGACAGCCACAGCAAGAGTTCAGCACTCCTGATACCCCTTGACAAATATTTCTACTGCTTTCATAATTGCAATATGAAGCATAATTCACCACAGGACTGCATATCAGGTCTGGTCTTTCTAGAAAGAAAGCTTGGGAAGAGGAAACCAGATGACGCAAAGCTTGAAATCCTGGTTTAGGGCTGTCTGTCTCACGTGCTTGGCAGAATCTGCCAAGCGTCCTACTTCCCCTTTTTAGCAGTTGGGTCCATAAACTCACAGACAGATAAAAGCACGTGGATGGAAGTCTGACATGTCCGAGTGAGAGAAAAAAACCCTGTATATAAAGTCATACGATTACATAGCAAGAAATGTATATTTGTCACATTTTCTTAATTACGGTATGTGCTCTGGTCTTAATGTGCCATATTCTGGTGATGTCACGCGTTTTTCATTTTCCAGAGAATAGCATTGGGTTAAGTGATGTGGCATTTACTGCCTATGTTGAAACTAAAGCAGCCTGCATCTCCTTTTTGTTTTTTGCTCCTTGGCAGCTAGGCTCCCACCACTTCCCCCTCTCTGCAGCAGCCCAAGAATAGAAGAATAGTTCATTTCCTAGGACTTTGTGTTCAGTGGGAATCTCCCATTTGTAATAAGAAGATTTCACTACAGATTTCTGGAATTTTCACCAGCCGCCCAGCCCACTGCTGAATCTCTTTGAACCTGGGCAAATGTGGTGCAGCTGAGGCAAAACTCAATCCTTTCTTTAAATTCTGGGCAGAATTTCCTGCTAAAAAAAGTATTTGTAAGAGAGTATGAAGAAGTTAAAATCAAATTTGCACAGGAGAGATACTTGTTTTATTTAAAAAACCTTGAAGACTATACAAGGGACTATGCAAGGTCTGAATAAGAGCTGGAGAAGGAAACTTCATGGAAATGTACAGTGTTCCATCTCAGGAAATGTACAGTGTTCTTGGGACCACAGTTAATTGAGATTAGTTATACTGCAGGACTTGGAGATGCAGGAAAGCAGGAGAGCTGCCTGCTCACAAATAGCCCACACAGACTCCTCCAATTCTGAGCTTCACCCAGCTCCATGCTCCAGCTCCCACTGCAACCCCCCAGGGACTCCATCCCTGCCCATGGCAGCACGGCTCCAGCTTGAGAGCAGCTCTGCCTGACCATAGCAGGGACCTAGGTCAGAAAAGGAGGTCTTTAGTCATCAAATCAAAATTCATATTGCTACAGGGTATCCCAGCATATTACTCCTTACATTAGCTGAAAAGTGTAACAAACTCACTCCAGAATGTCAGAGAGTAAGACCATGTGACTGTCAGGATACTGCCACAGTGTCGTACAAAATTCCATGGCTGTTTCTAAAGCCAAAGCCATGCCTAAGCATGCATGCACTTATAACTAAATATTATCTATCCAAAGATCAGCTCAGCATACATCGTCCTGAACTTTCCTCAGCTCCCTTCTATCCCTTAAATAAAAGTTCATTTTTGTCTTACCGTTCTGGACGACGCTGATCAGGGTGACGATGACAAGCAGGACAATGCTTCCCAGGGTCTCCTGGTCCATTTCGTGAGAGGGCTCTCGGGGTGGATGGTGCAGCCTCGGTGGCAGCTCAGTGGTACAAGCACAGAACGAGGAAGTGAAATGAAGGTCTTATCTTGAATCATGAAACACTTCCTATGGTTTCACAGGAGAGTGGCAGCACCCTCTGCTCTGGTGCCTGTCAGACCAACAACCGCAGGCTCACTCACTTGTACAGATGAAGCCCAGGGAAAAAAGAGATTGCACGTCTGTGATCTAAGATGATACTTAATGTGGAAAGATACTTATTGCCCTTCCTATACACAAGCAAAACCTGGATATCTAAAGCATGCCCGAGCACTTGGCTGGCTGTGTGGAACAGCAGAAGGCTGGAAGGAACCAGTCAGGCTACCACAGCATTGTCAGCAAGTGCCCAGCCACTCCACAAGCAGCTGGGAGGAGAAATAATGTTGACAAGTCTCAGCAATGGTGCTGCTCTCATGCAGATGCTCTCCCTGGTCACATCTCCATCAGTCTCACCAGTGAGGAGACCCCAGGCCTGCATGTCACAAGCCAGAGCTCCTGAACCCCCTGGCATGTTGGAATGGGCAGTACAGCAGTGCTGTGAGCATTGCTGCTGAGCACAGAAATATGTCTTTTGTTACCAGGAATGGATCCTGCATCCTGCCCCCTACGAATAACTCCTTGGAAGACAGTGACAGCTACAAACACTCAGTGTTTTGCAGGCTCAGACTTCACAGTTGTGCCCCAATTTTAGTGCTGGGAGCCCAGTATAGCTGAGCACAATTGCTGCAGCATATTCACAGCCCAGATCCAACCCCTCGATGAAGCTGGCACAGAAGCACAGGCTGTGGTGCTGGACAGAGGGGTGGGCTGACCTTGGCTGAACATCAGGTGCCCACCCAAGCCACTCTATATCTTCCCTCCTCAGCTGGAGAGGGAAGAGAAAAGACAACAAAAGGCTAAGGGGTTGAGATAAGGGCAGGGAGAGATCACTCACCAGTTACTGTCACAGGCAAATCAGACCTCACTCTGGGTGGGTCACAGCCAGGCAGGAGTTCCAGCAGGAGCCAACCTGCATAACTTATCTTTTTCAATGGGGACACATTTACTTACAATGGTGTTTTTACCCAGTCTCTTTATCATGCAAATTTTTATAATCCATAATCTTACATATGGAAAACTCTCATATACTTTGGGTATAAACAAATACACAGAAATGAACTGGCAGAGGTAGGTGATTAACACTGTGAGCTGTGATGTAGTTATCAGCATAGGAAAAGGCTGTCTTTCTGGGATGCCTTTCCTACAGTCCATAGAGATAAAACTGTGTGAGAAGCAAAGCCATAAAGAATACCAAGGTTTAGATTTGGCCTGTGATTTTTTCTTCAGGTTTTTAACTTTTGCCAGATTTCTCAAGGAAAAAACCCAAATTCAAGAACAAAAAGAGAATGACAACAACTCTTTGAGAATGCTTTTATTCAGGCTAAAGTTCTCTTTTTCCCCAGAATACGATCTTTTCCTACTTGAACATCAATGTTTATGTTTTGTGGTCTGTCGAGCACAGGATTGTAGCTGGTATTTAGGGATGGTATTTAATGATAAGCATCTACTAATGTTCAGAGAAGAACCCATCACCAATAAACCATGATGGAGTTAAGTCAAAAGAAGAATATTGTCTAAGCAGAGATCAGTGTTATGACTGTAAAGAGAGGAGCTGTGCATGGGCATGGACAAGCAGGAGGGAGCTGCTGACAGGAGAGGGCAAAGGGGACAGCACAGGTCCTCAGGGCATCTGTGGTTGGAGGATTTCCACTCATCCTCCTGCAGCAGGCATTCTCCTCCTGCTACCTGTTTTGTGCTGGTGCAAACCTACCAGGCAGCCTGCAGCTTGCTTTTGATTTACAAGTGGCAGTACTAGCACATGAGCCTGCTCTAATTTGCCAAGAAAACACACACTCTTCCCCACTATCAAAGACTTCCCAGAGGTGACTTCTATTCAGCAGAACTCTTGTATAAAAGAGGGTAGGAATCAGGCTGCTGAGGTGTGAAGTTGCCATAATGCAAAAAACCCCACAAGACACCAGGAATTTGTGCCAGCAGGCTTTCCAGCTGGCTGACCCAAGCTCCCCTCCCTCACCCTGTGTGCTGGCCACATCGTGAGAGATGAGCTGTTGATGCCTTTGCTTTCTCCTTGTCCTGCTCTTTGTTTTGCAGCTCTTTGCTTTGCTGCTGCTCAGTGCCTCTCAGCACAGAATCATCCCCACTTTGCTCTTCTGCTCTGCCCCTTCTGATTTCCCCCTGTCCCCTGACACCGCTTTGGCATTTTGGCACTTGACATTGCCAGTGCTTTTCTGGAAACCCAGCCTGTTCCCTCCTCTCACTCAGGTTTGCTCCAAAGCCATCCCACATGTATATGTGGAGGAAAGCAGGGTTTCACACTCCTCCCTGCAGTAAAAAAAAACAAACCATGACATCAGCTCCAGGGCTTGTTAAAATGATTTCTTGGTGTGCAAGGAGAAAAAAGCTTTGCCAGCAAGAACCACTTTGGTATGGCTGCCTTAAGAAAGGAACTGCAGGGTTTTGTTTTGTTTGTTTTTTGTTTTTTGTTTGGTTTTTTTTTAACTGCAGCATCACTTGAGGAAAAACAAGGAAATCAAGATGGTATGTGAGACATTGAAGAAGAAGTCCCTTTACATGGCAAAGCAACACTGTTGTGTACCCAGACCTAGCATAAACCTCTTGTGGGAAGGAATATTACCTTCCATACCCCTTGGCCCTGTAATAGCTGCAGGGTAGAAGGAAATTCTGGCAATATTTTTGCAATTTGGGGAATTGCCTTGGCAAGGGAGGGCTAAAATGACTCTGCTAGCAGCTTTTTCTATACCTACACACTAAATTGTTCCCTGTCCCTGAGACCTAAACACACACAGGATCACTGACCGGATAAGACAAAGTTGCCACCACTGGAAAACCCTGTCCACCTGGGAGAAACATCAGTGCAAAACACCTCCATCATATCTCACTTGGCTGTTTGAAATAAGGGATTCTCCTGAGTAGACAAAAAAAAACCAAAAAGGGGGTATGAGGGGAGGGATACACACCTTGGGGAACTGTGCCTGCACCTTCTGTAACCCCCAGCTGTGGTCAGATTTCTTCAGGCACAGGCAAGTCAGCACTTCAGCAGCTGCTGTCAGATCCCAGCCCTTTTGCTTGCTGCATGGCTCTTTGACATCCACATCATTCTGTCCAAGGAAGATAACCTTGACACAGTGAGCCATGAAGCTCACAAAAATGTGCAAAGCCAGCGAGCTTTTCCAGTTGCACTGCGAGGCTTCCTGCACATTAATCTCCTCCCCTGGAATCCTGAACAGCCAGTCAAAATAATCCCTTTGTAGAATTGCTTTCGTGGTGAAGAGGAAAGGAGTGGGAACGCAGATCTATAAATATCTTTTGGGATGTTCATCTCTCCTCTCATGCACTCTGATCAGAGCTCAGGAGAAAGGACTCCAATGAAAGTGTGCCTCTTGACAATATAAAGGCTGCTCAGGTGAAGCTCCCACACATGAAAGCCAGGTGACACCCAGCTGTCATGCTTTGTCACAAATGCAAGGTGACACAAGCCCCTTGGATGTCTGGTTAATACGAGCACTGTGCTTTGCAAAGGCAAAGCGCCGCAGCCCCTTCAGCTGAAGCACACAGGCACACGTGTGGGTGACTCCCTGCCTGCCTCAGAATCCCATCCTTGCTGAACCTGACAAAACCCCAGCAGAGAGCATGAACAGAGCTGGAACTGTGAAGTGCAGCACAAAGAAAAGGGCAATGCTGCAAGTTTTAAAATGCTGCCTTCATCCTGCACAGCCAAGAGAATGAGCCGACCGCCTCAAAAACCCCTCCTTCTCCACATTTTACAGGCTTCCTCCTTTCACTCACTGTTTTCATATCCCTTTGGTACAAATTCAGCTCAAAACAGAGCTGGATGACAGAAACTGTAGTCTCTTCAGGTCCTCTGGCACAGCCTCCTCCTCCTCACCCTCTTTGTCCCATTGTCACGGTTCAACCCCAGCCAGCACAGCCCCTTAGCCCTGCACAGCCACTTGCTCACTCCCCACCAGTGAGATGGGGGGAGAATCAGAAGGATAAAAGTGAAAAAAGGGTTAGGAAATTCCACACATGCAGGCAAATAAAAACAATAAATGCATTCACCGCTTCCCACAGGCAGGCAAGTGTTCAGCCATTTCCAGGAAAGCCAGGTTCCATCACATATAATGGTTACTGTGGGAGACAACGTCATCACTCCAAATGTTCTCTCCTTTCTCCTTCTTCCACCAGCTTTATAAGCTGAGCATGGTGCCATATGGTAAGGGCTAATCCTTGGATCTGCTGGGGTCAGATGTCCCCGCTCTGTCCCCTCTCAACTCACTGGTGGGGTGATGTGAGAGGCAGAAAGGCCTAGACTTTGCATAAGTCCTGCTCAGCAGTGACAAGAACAACCCTTTGTGACCAGCAGTGTTTCCAGCACCAGTCCAAAACAGAGCCACATGCCAGCTACTAGGAAGAAAATTAACTCTACCCAGAGTATTTTAGATGTGGCCTCACCAGAGCTGAGCAGAGGAGCAGAATCACTTCTCTTGACCTGCTGGCAATGCTTTGTCTAATGTGACCCAGGGTACCACTCACCTTCTTGGCCACAAAGTCCCACTGTTGGCTCATGTTCAACCTGCTGTCCACCAGAACAACCAAATTCCTTTCTGCCAGGTTGAATTCTAGATGGGTACCCCCAGCATGTCCTGGTGCTTGATGGGTTTTTTTTGTCTACAGCTGCAGGAGTTTTCACTTCTCCTTGCTGAACTTCATGAGGTACCTATCAGCCCATTTCTCCAAACTGTCAAGGTCCCTCTGGATAGCAGCATCACCTTCTGCTCCGTCTGCCACTCCTGTGGGTCTGGTGCTGTCTGTAAACTTGCTGAGGCTAAACTGTGGCCCATCATCCAGATCACTAATGGGATGTTGTGCAATATTGATCCCTGATGGCATCCAACTACATCATGCACCACACTCTGGACACAACAGTTTGGCCATTTTTCAGTCCACCTCACTATCTGCTTATTGAACCCACACATCAACAGCTCCTCTGCAAGGATCTTATGGGGGATAGGGTCAAAGACCTCACTGAAGTCCAGGCAGACAATACCCACTGCCCTCCTCTCTTCTACCAGGCCAATCACTTCACCATGAGGGTCTACCAAATTGTCTAACATGACTTCCCCTTGTTCGAGCCATACTGACCAACTGCTGGCACTTCCACTGTCTTTGATGTGCCTGAAGATGGTTTCCAGATTAGCTCATCCATAACCTTCCCAGGCACTGAGGTGAAGCTGACCCCAGTCAGTAGTTCCCCCAGTCATCCTTCCTGCCCTTCTGGAAGATGGGGGTGATGTTGCTTTATTCCCATCCTTGGGCACTTCCCCTCATTGCCATGATTGATGAAAGCTGCAATGGATCTACCATCTCTCTCAGCACTTGTGGGTATATCCCACCAGGGCTGGTGGTATTTATGGATGCAGGTTGCTTAAGTATGGATTAATGTACATGCAGGTTGCTTAAGTATTGCCAGACTTGGCCCTCATCCATCTAGGGTATATCTTCCTTGCTGATTTGTTTTTTGTAACTCATGTTTGCTGCCATTATCACCTTATCACCTTTTAGGTGGCTGCAATTTTGTTGTATTGCACTAAATAGTTTATTTAGTTGTTGTTTTGCACTGGGTGATGGGAAATTTGTACTGAGTATGGTATGTCATGTAGAGTGTTATTCCCCCTCTCCCATCACATAGTCTATCCCTCACACACCCCCCTGCCACACACCCTGGTGGGCTTTTATTTCTGTCCATGTAAGACCGTGTGGGCCAGGGTTCAAGCTAGCTGGACTGGACCCATACAACAGCCCAGAGACATGCGGATTCTTGCACAATTTGATTAATAATTAGTTTCAATTCATTTTATAGACTGTTTAGAGCTGAGGTGAGGCTGCCTGGGCAGCAGATTCACAAGTCTTTCTCTCCACTCTGCTTTGAGAAGTCTCTTTCACCCTGTCTCATTTCTGTTCCCGCTTTCCATTAGCTCTTGCAAATAATTATCAGAGGACTATGAATCAAAAGTCACTGTGGAGTGAATTTTATCTTCTGTTCTTCAAGTTGTGAAATATGCATATTTTATGATTGGCTTTTTGCAAATATTAAAATGAATATTATATGTGTTGTGTAAGAAAGTTATGCTGTGTTAATTTTCTTAAGTAGTGTGTTAAATATAGTTTTAACATAATGTTTAACATAAAGTTTTAACATAATAACATAATGTTAAAATAGAAACTATGCTATGTAAAATACTTTTTTTAAAAGAAAGGACTCACAGCGAGATAGCATCCACAGAACACCTAAATCTTTCAGAGAAACGAATTTATTCCTCTCTTATCGAGTTCTTCCCACCTCGCTCAGTCCTGAAGATGCCATTAGGATTCAGAGGAAGAAGTTGACAACGACCAGACAGAATGCTTTGTTTGAATGGAATTTATGCATCATGTATGAGGTGTATGAACATGCAACAGGCTATTGCTTTTAAGGGTTAATCCTCTGTTAAGGGGTGTCCTTTTTCAGGCTCGTGCTGCCCAGAATGAGGTACTCGGACGTCCGTGACTCTTTGTTTTTATTGTCTCATATTGCCCTAATCCAAATTGTCCAAATTATTATTACTCTAATTATATTGCTATTTTTATAACCATTTTATTATTAAACTTTAAACCATTAAACTTTAAAAATTTTAAAAACAAGTGATTGGCGTTTTTCACAAAGTCTGTGGTCACAACTACTCCTTTTGGCACTGTAATTATCAGAAGGAAAGATGTTGGATCCATTGACCACCTTAATAACAGGGCAATGCTAATTTTTGCCTTCCTCATCCCTGGCACATAGTGTCAGAGCTTCCTCTTGCAAACTGAGCTGTCTCGGAGAGCAGCCTTCAGGCTCCTATTGACAACCGTCCCACCAAGAGGCAGAACTTCACTACATTTTTCTGCTTGTCCACTCTTCCGCAGTCCCCCAGGAAAACAAAGGGAAAAGGCCACGGAGAAAACAAAAAAGGGAAGGCAAGGAAGGGCCGTTTTTAGATTAAAAAAGCAATCAGGCCCCACGGCCAGCGATTAAAGCCCAGCCCAGGCCGCCCCGAGGGAGCAGGAACGGGAAGGACACAAAGGAGCGCAGAGCCCGCCCCGGCCGCCGCGGGAGGGAGCCGTGGCTCGGCGTCGCTGCCCCACAGCGCGTCTCTGTGGCGCAATCGGTTAGCGCGTTCGGCTGTTAACCGAAAGGTTGGTGGTTCGAGCCCACCCAGGGACGGGCCGCAGTCTTTTTGTGGCGCACCGCGTGTTTTTTCCTTCCCTCCTGCAAAAGGCGGCGGCTGTAAACGGCCCGCGCCGCCTTTATACCGGCGGGAAGTGCCCGAGATCCGAGACCCGCTTTTGGCTTCGGGACCTCGCTCCTCCTGCCCGCCCAGAGGAGTTTCACCCGCACCATGTGCTCACAGCGAAGTTCCGGGTCCTCCGGCTGATTGCTCAACACAGACTGCAGGTGAACGCAACGTAACGGGAGTTTCCGTAGTGTAGTGGTTATCACGTTCGCCTAACACGCGAAAGGTCCCCGGTTCGAAACCGGGCGGAAACACCATATTTTTTTCCCTTCCCGTGTCACCGCGGACGTGTTTCCTGGTTTCCTCTTTATCCGCGGGGCTCATCCCACGCCCCGCCGTGGGAGAGGGCGAGTGGCCTCCTGGGCTGCCGGGGGGCCGGCAGGGAGGAGCAGGGGCAGAAGCTGTGCAGAAGCTGTGCAGGAGCTCTGCTTCATTCCCATGCCCGAGCTCCTCGGCAAACGCGTTTTTTCCGGAAAGATCGCCCAGAGGAGGGGAAAGGAGCTTCAGCTGAAACGGTCTGAACATCATCAGAAAACTTGGGACAAAAACTACAACCACTCGCCGTGGGCATTACAGAAGGCCCTTTAGCTATTAACTTACATAAAAAGAGTAATATAGATCTAGGTCGGGGGAAAAGCATCTTTTGAGGGTTTCTCCAGCCTCTTCCTCAAAAACATAGCTGGAGGCACCCAGCCCCTTCTTCCTTACACTCCTTTCCCAGCATTTCCTCTCCTTTGTGAGCCCTGTGGCTCCGCCGTGTTCTCTTGGGCTGGGCAGCTTCAGCATCTCCCTCGCAGACAACCACAGCATGTTTGTGCACAGTAGTGTAAGACTAAAAATGCTGCAAATTCCATCAGCCTTCTTATCCCGCTAAACTTCTCTTCCCTCTTGCTCTGCCTGCACCCTGTCTCAGATCAATACTTAGACTGGAAGTTTCTTACACTCTGAGACCAAATCCTGGTGGACTTCAAAGCACAGCACACGCTTTCGAGTACAAGCTGCTCTAAAGGCAATGTGCTTTGCTCTGGGCACGAAGGGGCTCACATCAAGAGCAGCTGTTTAGCTTTGCAAAAGGAACACAGACAACACACAATGGCTCTTGTGGATATGTTGTCAGGAAGGGAGTAATTATTTAAAGCAGAAAACCAGTGATGGAAGAATAAATGGCAATACCCAGCCATGAAAAACATCAAGATCAAAATCATACTTGTAATCAGCACCACACTAGATTTCTTGAACAGTGCTCTAGCAGGTATACAGCTAGAAATCCATCCAGGCAGCTCCTATACAGATGTGTTGGTTTATTGTAGGCAGGATGTGAGAAGGCAGCCCTCTTTTTCACCCTTTACTGTGTTATAAGAAGTGTTTGAATATATCACCAAGTAGTCAGATCTGAATCACAGCACCATTTCTGCAGAACTGATTCCACACTCTGAGTGCCGTGATTATGCCTTTCCCAAAGCAGAAGACAGACTAACTAGGCTCTGCAGAGGGCTCTGGACAGGCTGGGTTGATGAGCCAAGGCCAATTGGATGAGGTTCAACAAGACCAAGCACTTGGTCCTGCCCTTGGGTCACAACCCCAGGCAGTGCTACAGACTGAGGGCAGTGGCTGGAAAGCTGCCCAGTGGAAAAGGAAATGGGAATGCTGGTCAATGGCAGCTGAACATGAGCCAGCTGTGCCCAGGTGGCCAAGAAGGCCAATGGCATCCTGGCATGTGTCAGCAATAGTGTGGCCAGCAGGACCAGGGCAGTGATTGTCCCCTGTACTCGGCACTGGTGAGGCCACACCTCAAGTTCTGCGTTCAGTTCTGGGCCCCTCACTACATGAAGGACATTGAGGGGCTGGAGTGTGTCCAGAGAAGGGCAACAGAGCTGGGGAAGGGTCTGGAGTGCAAGACTGATGAGGAGCAGCTGAGGGTGTTTAGCCTGAAGAAAAGGAGGCTCAGGGGGGACCTTACTGCTCTCCACAACTACTTGAAAAGAGTGTAGCCAGGTGGGGGGCAGGTCTTTTGTCGTAGGTAATGAGACAGGATGAGAGGAAATGGTTTCAAGTTGTGCCATGGGAGGTTAGATTGGATGTTAAGAAAAATCTCCTCTCTGAAAGGATGGTTAGGAATTGGAAGAGACTGCCCAGGGAAGTGGTGAAGTTATCATCCCTCAAAGTGTTCAAAACATGTAGATGTGGCATGTAGGGACATGGTTTAGTGGTGTAGATGGCAGTGCTCAAAGCCCTTAGACTTTGGGAAATCTACCCTAGAACACTAATAAAACCAACACAATACAGGGGCTAGTTTCTGATCACTACCTGTACTTCCAGTTGACAAAAAATTACTACAATACTTTGTATTCTCTTCATGGCAAATTAAGAGCTGCATTTAAAAACTACTCTTAATATAAAACACCCAGTAACACTTCAAATTCCAAACAATTTCTTTAGTCATGGGGTTTTCATTCAAAATCAGCTGAATTCTCACTTGCACAGGATCAGAGGCAGTAAAACATTTATGGAAACAAACAAATTGCACTGCATCATCTTTAGTTTTCTGTTTCAGAGAAAAAGGCAGCCAGGAACATGCAGCATCAACAGATTTATTTTCATACCTTCTTTAATCTCAAGTGCTATTTGTTTGCTCTTGGAGCTTCTATATATACCTGTACCCACACTAAATCCCACGCAGCTGCAGCCCAAACACTCTCAGCTTCAGTTTGTGGAGGGGGTGCCAATGGTGACCCGAGGTTCTTGCTTCTGTCTAGGTGTATGTGCACAGCAGGTGTGCCCCCACACCCTCCCTCCTCTGCCATGAACCACATTATAAACCTCTCCACCAGGACTTGCTCATCTTCTAGCAGGGTTTCTTCCTCCTGTTTCTTCCCCCTGTGCATTCTGCATCACCAACGCTGGGCTCACTGCTTTACTCACCCCTGGGTCTGTGTTTGTGTCCCAAGCCAGTGGTGAAGGAGCTCCCATGTCACAGCTGCAGGTCATTGCAACCCATTCATGGATAAATCAGCTCTTTTTTTTTCTTTTTTTTTCCTTTTTAATTTTTTTTTTAATTAAATTTTTCAAATTTTAATTCATAAATGGGCAAACATTTCACAAGCAGTACACCAGCCCTTAACATTCAGAATCCACTCATTTTCTATTGTAACATTACCAATTACAGTATTTAAAACAAAGAAGAAGCTCAAGTTCTTCACAATAACTTGAATTTCAAAAATTCATTGCCTAAAGTACCAGTTTGATAACAATGTATCAAATTGCAACAAGTTCAGGGCCAATTATAGTTTTTCAAACACTTTTTAAACCTAGTTCTAACAATCCAAAACCATTAGAATCTGTAACCATGCCTTGTAATAGCATTATGTTTAACTGCATCTACTGGAAAAGTAAGACTGAGCATTTAATGTTTTGAGCTTGGAATCTGAAACAAAAAAATGCAGGACAGCTCTAGATATGCCTGATATAAAGATTTGCTGATAAAATCCTTATTTCCAAGAACAAGAAAAATGTACAGCTAATCTAACTTGGCATATAATACCCTCAGCTTCGTGGCCATGCATTTAAAAAAAGACTCCAATCTAGCAAAATGAAAGCTATACATATCCAGAAACACCAAGGTGTGAATCCCTCTGCTTACTCACTGCTGTCTTGCCACATTTTTCCGTTACTTTCTTCCTACTGACCTTGCCTCTCCTTGGCATCTCACATACAGTCGGGGGTGCACTGCCTGAGTCATGAAAAACTCCAAGTGACAACAGTAATAGGCATTAACTTACAGTTAAATTAATTCTAAGAAACTTCTAAGTTCATATCAGAGAATGCAAAATTCCCTACTTACAGAAGGTACTTAAAATGTTTTTTTTAAATGTTGGACAAAATAACTTCAGGAGTTGAGTGGTCCTGTAAAATCATTAGTACATAAATAGTATTTCTTACAACATTACATCATCAAGACTACAGAACTTAATTAGTTCTCAAACACACTAGAGTATGGAAGATTTTAATATTAAAAGCAGCAAAAATTAAGACTCACAGGAGCTTTTAATTAAAAATCATTGTCATATCTGACAGCTAAAATAACTGCTTCTCAGAAGAATAGAATACATTAAACCCTGATTTGCTTGTTACAGTAAAATATTAAGAAAAAAAAAATCTCAAATGTAAATTGTTCAAGTACAGCCAGTGTGCAATTAAACCAGTTATAAAATATAATTTAGTAGTGCTTTGTTTCAAAATATACATAATACTGAAAAAATACTTAAACTCAAGAAACTGAGTATTTACCAAGTTTCAAACAGAGTTTCATCAAAATGAGGTAAATCCATGTCATCTGCCATTGAGCTTGGTGCTGAAATGGAGAACAGGTCTTCGAGGATATCATCTCTTGTAGGACTTTCAAAAGAAAGTTTTTTCCCACTGTGTTTGTTTATTGCATCAAGCTCCAAAGTGGTGTCCTTTACAGGACTGTAGTAATTGTGGTCCTCACTTGTCACTGCTGCCTGTGGCACAGTGGTGTTCTCCTGGGACACGGTTGTTGCCACGCTGCCGTGCACCATTTCCATGTACATGCACTCATCTCCGCTCTTCGGCGCCTCCAAGGGAGCGACAGTCGAAATAGGGGACAGTAATTCTGCCAGTATTTCATCAGTGTTATCAGGGCCAGTGCACTCTGGCACAGCGTTTGCATTCAATTCAGATCCATTCCCTGCGACATCAATCTGATACTGCAGCTCCCTTAAGCTCTGCAATAATTCACTGTCATTCTGAGATTCAGTCTGCGATGGGGTGCTCACATCTCCACTCACAGGTTTTTCCTGTTTCATCTGTTCCACTGCTAATCTATCCAGTGAAGCCAACTTCTTCTTTTTAGCATTAAGTTTTTTTAACAATTTTAGGCGAAGTTTTTTTGTTTTGTCACTCTCTGACTCTTCTGCCTTGCCAGAGTTATAGCCAGGTGAGGGGAACCGAGTCACTTTACCTGAGGTACCTAACATACTTTCTGACTTAATCCAAGTTGGACCTACAATAGTGGTATGATTTGCTGTTGGAAGACAAGTGCTTTGAGAAAATCCTTTGAAATTTGGTAAAGGATGAGTATTATTACTCTGAGGAGCCAGTAACTTTGGGGTCTCAGTTGTTTGCTTTGTACCTCTGCTTTGAAATCCACCAAAGTTACTTGCACCCTTAACTGGCAGCCGAACTTCACTTATTTTTTGCAATGAGGGAGTTTTGCAACTTCTCTCATTCTTGAGAGCTGAGGCACTTGAAGGCATAAAAGAAGCACTCTTGCTTAATTTCTTCACCCAGCTTCCTACAAATCCTCCTTTTCGGTCTTTGTGTGAGGACTGAACTGAATTACTGGCACCAGAAGAACTGCCAACTTGAGAATTAACTACAGTTTTGCTTGCATCTCTCAAGTCAGGTGGTTTTTGTATAGTATTTTCTACTGCTAACCACTTCTTGCTTAGCAGTAGTTCTGAATTTAATCCATGTTCTCTGTTAGCTAAATTAGCTCTGTCATTTAATTGAGAAGGCGATGAGTCAGATGAATCAGGGTCATGTTTTTTGGGCACAGGAGCAGTAATATTTACTGAGTTCAACTCTTCCAGAGGAAAGCAAATACTGGAATTTTCACACAACATGGATTTATTGTTCATAGCTAGACTAGTTCCAGCAAACTCTCCTGCATATGGAGTGCTAAGTGAAAAAGTTGGTTCCAGCTGTTCTGGTGTGCCCCATCCATCAAGAAGGTTATTCCCCACCATCCATCCATTAGGCAGCAATTTTTCTTCTGGGTCATCTAGAACTTCTTCAGGCATCAGTGTTACAAGATCACCATCTGCCAGATTTTCTGAACCATGATGAACAATACTTTTGTCCTCAGTTACTTGCTGCTGTTTCTTATCTGGAGTCCTCACAGAATCCTCTTTGTGAGGTTCTGCAGGTGTTTTGCCAACAGTGTTATCAGAACCACAATTCAACACCGTGGAATTTGAATGTACATTATTAAGAGGAATATCTTCACTATTTTTACTTTGGAACTGTAAATTCAGTTCTTGTGGCACATGGGATGCTTTCTTTTCCCAAATAACAATATGAATCTCTGAAGGAGGAACTTCAAATCTTTTACGTCTCTTGCAATACGGACCCTTTAAATCATCACATTCAAGCCAAGTTCCTGAAAAATAGCAATCAGTGCAGAGACTCAGAGACTTTTAAAATTGAAATCACTATCCTCACACTTGTCAAGTATTTTTATTAACCCATTCTCCTGGCAAGCAGAAAATAGAGTTTGGGGGTTTTTTTCTCCAGAGAAAACTAGGAGACTTCCACTGTAAAAAGAGCAAGTACAAGAAGTTGCAGCAATATTATTACAGGTCAGAGTAGGTCAACCATAAAACAAAGCTAGCTAAGGAATTTTTTTGGCTGAAACATCTTGTCTGAAAATACTCTCACAAGTCTGAGGTAAGAACCACCTCTTAAATTAAGTTTCTCTGTAGACCTTTTAATTGCCTGGGTAGGAAGCACAGGAGCTAAAAAGAAACTGCTTATTTTAAAACTCTTGTCTCATCACCTGGAAACTGTTCACAGATAATGAAAGAATATTTTATAGCTTTAAGAATTTTAAAACAGATATATATGGCATATAGGAGCTTCTTAACTAGGCATTTCCCAACTGCTTCCTCTTCCCATTTCTTTTTTATCTCTGGCAATATGACTTAGACAATTTTCATGTTGTCACAACACTTCATAAGACTGTACCCCATGCTCTCTACAGAGGCATGATTACCAAAATATCACCTTTTCACCTTCTCTATTTATGGATCTTCCATCAGCGGTACAACCATCATACCATTAGTAATGTTTCCAACATGGATTTCTGCCTCCCACCCCTGAGGTGCCATAAAGTTCAGATATAAAAAATAACTTCATTAATTGCTCATAGTACCATAGGTTACCTTGTTTCCAGCCAAGAATGGATGAATCACTGGTTTAAAAATAAACAATACTATTTGTTCCACAGTCATGGTCAGACTGCATTTATTTTTTAACTTTTACGAAGTTATGAAGGGAAAAAAACTCTATAGCCAAATTACTTTTTCCAGTAAGTGCTCTGTAAGACAGCACAGTGCAGTAAAACCAACTGAAAACCTTCACTCCAAGAAACCAAATTATTTGCAACAATTTAATATGAAGTTTAGAATGCAGACAAAAGAAATCTTTGTTATTATATATCAACGGTTGAGACTACTGCAGTAACCCATAAAACTCATGAAATATTATGGTAGATAAGAACCATAAACTCTATCTTATCTCTCTCTTTTATGAGGAAAGGCTGAGGGAGCTGGGCCTGTTCAGCCTTGAGAAAAGACAATTGAGAAGGGACCTCATCAGCCTCTGTAAGTATCCAGAGGGAGGTGTCAGAAGACACACCCAGGCCCTGCTCAGCAGTGCTGAGCAATAGGACAGAAGGCAACAGGCAGAAACTGATGCACAGGAAGTTCCACCTGAACATAAGGAAGGACTTCCTTACTGTGCAGTGACAACACACTGGAGCAGATTGCCCAGACAGGTTGTGGGCTTTCCCTCACTGGAAATATTCAAGAACCATCTGGATGTCATCCTGTGCCATGTGCTCTGGGATGGCCCTGCTGGAGCAGGGAAGTTGGATGACCCCCTGTGGTCCCTTCCAACCTGACCCATTCTGTGATTCTTACCATCAGGATTCAATGACCAGCTTATGAAGTGCTTCTTATCTGTTTGGTACTGAACAACAGATGTTATTTGGTAGGTGTCTTCCTCAAATTGAAATGAGTATTTCTCCAGGTCGTTATGTGGCAAGCCTTCCACAAAATGTAATGTTAATATTGAGGGTACTCTGACAAAGAAACAATAAAGAACCGGTTTATTACAATAGAACAGTGGCAAAAGTTCCTAATGAAAAAGTAAGACATCTCTAAGAGTATTTGGTTCTGCCCTTACTATTCTACTTCCTCACAGACTCTTCAGATTGCACAGTAAGCAGAAAGGAAAAAGAATATCCCAACTGGATGTTCCATTTAATTATAGATTAGGGGGGAAAAAAACCCAACACCAAATAAGAGATTTGGGGAGTGGGGAAAAGTTGAGAAAAAACATTCCTGTGCCATAAACACAGTAGCAAGGGATATTGTTCCCAGGTCAATTAAGTAAACAAATGATCAAACAACTTTTATCCACAGCAGGGGCTGTGAAAAGGCTGACACTGGATATCAGTTGTCTGTATTTACTACTTGATAGTTAAGTATTTATGACCTAGTTCACACACGTTAGTCAGCATGTTAAACACTGCTCTGTTTCATCTTTAATAATCAATACTTGCTATTTTAGCTTGTAAGAATGATCTAAAAATCTTTAAAAGTGAGTACTGATCAGAGTTTAAGGTTTAGAATCTCTGCAAACCCACAGTAATAGTTTGGTTTCAGAAGTCATAGGTTCAATAAATGAAGTCTCAGAACTTTATGTATATTACTTTCAAGTTCACATATTCAAACTTACTTTTCCAAGATCATCTGTTGTCTTTGAGATGCATTTCCACAGTTAATACACGGTCCAATATGAACAGCATTGAGTGGATGCCAATCAGGGATTACATTTGTAAATGTCGTTAGGGTTTTCTTCAACCTGGACACACACACATATTTAAAGAGTAAGCTGAGTTGGTGATCAGAAAACCATAAATATACATACTTTACCAGGAAACAAGTTATAAAAACATTATAAAAACCCAAATTCTATTCATGTTCATGCCATTTGTGTGGAATTCACTGTGACAGCATCACATCCAAGTCAGCCCTGAATTCAGTTCTGCCAAACAGCATCAGTCATAACTTGTTTCAGCAGCCCTGTGGCCTTCAGTTTCACATTATTTGCTTTTTCTCCCTATAATGTTATCTCTGTTTCCTTTCCAACATAAGACAAAGCTTGTGCCAGGATCTGTGTAATTTACTACCTAATACAGATATTTTTCAACTAAAATGAGTTGTCTTCTGAAGGCATCTCTCTTTACCTGCTGACCCTAAAAGGAGCGTAATTACAAGCTTGTACCTGTGGCTGCACAGAACTAAATCAATTCTCAAGAAATTACTCCCTGTAATATACTATTTTAAAATAGACAAACTATGTTAGAGAATCTCTGATTCTTTGTAACCCAAGTGAATATTCCAGGTATTTCTCAATAGCAAAAATGTACTAGGCATACATTCTTTAGAACCACAGCATTTGCATACTCTCAACAAAATATCAGAGTGAGTATGTCCTGAGACTCACACTGTTACCTATGGTATCTTTCTTAATTAATTGATAACACGGTTGTTTAAGACATGGAATAGCAGTAAACTATTTGCAAATGAAAAAGCAGATCATGTAAAACTTCAACAACAACCTTAAACCTGGAAATCTGAAGAAAACCAACTATTATATGCAGATTTTAAAAGGTGAGGTAGAACAGCTATGTAGAAGCTACTTATATAAAAATCTCACCGGTCCTGGTATTTGTGGCCACAACGTACACATTCAAATTTCCATGAAAACGAATGCAAGAATAGTTTCTCAGCTTGTTGATCCAATTGTAAGAGTAGTTGAAGTGCAAACACTGGATTTTTCGTATTACCTTCAAAGATGGGGCAGAAAAAAATGGTCACTAAATATCTGAAATCACCTTTCAGTTCCTCAAAAAGGAAGAAGATAAGCTTATTACTATGATTTAAATGTCAGTTATTATTTCAAGGCTCTATTTGCAATTCTCACAGCAAAGGGATTGATCCATGTTATTAGATTGGTATCAGTGACGATTTCACGACTACAGCATAATTACAAAGATTATCTGCTCTCTAAAAAGTCAAAATGGGCAAAGGACAAACCAGCTGATCATACTGTAAAGTATGTGTAAGTCACCAATAGAAACAAATATATTTCCAAACCTTCTTGCATGCATTCCTACACACATACTTTTATGTATGACATAAAAGGCTTTATATCTAGCATTTCCTGAAGGTAATTACTGAGATGCTGCACTAATTACTTACCCAATTCACATGTCAGCTGAGGCTTAAGTTCTGTAAACATTACGTTTCTGATTTCGTTGAGCTGAGATTCTGCTTTTGGAAGAACATCTAAAGAAAAAAATACGTATGTGTTCCTGTAGTTATGTGTAACAGCCCCACACCTTTTCACACACATGTACCCTCAGCATGCACTCCCTCTCTGCAAACCGATGCCTTTCATATTGACCCATACTTGAAATAGAACAGAGGCATTATATATAAATTCCACATATTTGTAGCAAATCAGTCTGACTATAGAAAACAGCAGCTAAATTTACTCACCTTTTACTTTACTCCTTTTACAGGTATTCAGAAGAATAGATGCTTGATTATACTTTGTTATAAGTTTCTGGAGTAAACATTTTCCATTGTTACATTCTTCTGCTAGAGCAGATTTTAATGTTTCTAAGTGTACCAGTGCCGACAAAATACAATCTAACCAACAAAGATTATGTTTGTTTCTCCACTGAAGACACAAATCTCTGTTATTCGTGGAACCTTTATCCTCTTTGAGTGAAATTTCAGATGCTGTTGATAAATTCTGAGAATTTGGCAATAGTTGTGTTTTGGGACTAGAAGTCTTTGGTGGACTTTCTTGGTAGTTGTTGGTCTTGGTGGTTGTTTCAAAATCCATGCTCTGCATGCAAGACCCCACATGATTGCCAGGGTTTTGCTGGTCATTTTGTAATACACTGTGTAGGCTTGCCTTGGGAATACACAAACTATTCTGGCAGCCTTTCACAACTGAGTCTGCATTAAGGGCGTGCTCAACATTGAGCACACTGTTATTTGCTTTTTTTGGATCTGATCCAATAGCAGAAAAGTCACTGATATTACCAAATTTCCTCTTCTTGTGAGTAGATGGAGCTTGATGATTTTCTGAACCAGTAGAAGTAATTATGCTGTTTAATGGTTTATAACCAAGTGGGTAGATACACTAAAGGAAAGAAAAAGGGTTACAGTGAAATCTACAAAGCAATTTCAGGTGAATGAGAGCTAAAGAAAGTACAAAACATACTTTTAAAATGGAGTTGAATCACAGAATCATAAAATGGCTTGGTTTGGAAAGGATGCTACAGACCATCCAGTTCCAAGCCCCCTGCCATGGGCAGGGACACCTTCTACTGGACCAAGTTGCTTAGACCTCCATCCAACCCAGCAATAGGGACTCCTGTAAAGTGATTTTTTAATTAAATCAATACATATATTCAACATAGGTATGACAGGAAAGGTGTGTTATCCCACCACTGTCTTATAAGCAACTATGAAATACATACATCAGTAGTGACACTTCAACACTACTTTGCCAGTAAATTCTCCCAACCTCTGCAAACAACTTAATTTTGCTAAGGAGAGTCCTCTTGTCTTATTCTGCTAAATCCACTCCTTTAGGGTACAGATTTGACATTATTATCTCATGCCTGAGAGACTACTGGTACCCAAATTGACAAGGCTAGCTCAATGAATATAGACAAATCCCTATTACCAATCTCCAGAACTATACCATAATTAGTTAAAACCAGGAAAGAATGGGAAAAAAACAACTCTGAGACCCATATCTAGTCAAGTTTCTACTAATTTAAGGGCAATTTAAGTCTGTTTGCGATTGCTATACCCTTCCCACATACACGGAGCAGTGAAGGGAGAGGTAGCAAAATCACAACGCAAATATTAAGCAGCACAGAAATCCAGCTAAGGTTAAAATTAAAAATGGGGGAAAAAAGAAATAAAAGCATAGTAATTACAATTATAAACCTATATGCATTACCCAGACTTATAGAAGGGAAAATGGAAGACTCAGATCTGCTAGAGCTACACACTAGTTCCATGGATCATCAAATAATCACCTTCTAGTCTGACTTGTACAAAAATTTATTTAGTACCACTTGTGATCCCTTGCTAATTGAGAAGAACCCTCCTTTATTTCATTATTTTTTTACTCTTTTTAATCCTTTAGGGTAGCTACCTATGCCTAAACACTGCATATACACAGGTTATTTCTGTTTTTCCCTATTTGCAAGCAAACATCCTGCAGCATACAGACTCAGAGGGGTCCTATTTCAACAGTCTGCTTACTACCAACAAAATCACAGACTTAGAGAGGTGTAACTGCTGAAGGTAAAGACCTCTGCAGGGCCAAATAAAACTCTTTATTAGTGTAATACCTGAGGATTTTCACAAAGGAAAATGGACTCTTGAAAATTAAGGCGGTAAATCCGTAAACCTTGGATCTGACCCTTCTCTTTGCAGACTGGACAATACTCATGTGCAGTTGTTTCCACAGGATTACAGTTCTAAAATAAAAACAAACCAAGAAAGATAAAGCAGCATAAATTTATGTATTTCATACATTATCCCAAGGTAAGACATACTTATACAAAATCATTGTTCAATTTCTAGATATAATACAATACAATATAAAAAGCAAACTACATTGGTTTCTTTTTAAATATTTTTACTATATTTGTATGGTAGCACAATTTAAATAAATTTATCTTTTTAGTTAAATATTCAAATAAAGTGTCTTTAACAACACATTTTATTTTTGCACATTTTATGTACTTTTATGCACATTTTATTTTACTTGAACTAAACCACAGGACCCTTATTGCCAGGGAACACAAGCTCAGATCTTTGAAAGACAAATCAATTTTCATAGGAATGCAAACAGTTGTAAAAATAGTGCCAGTAAAAAACATAGGCACATATTTACTTAGAAAAATCTTTCGCCATTGTTATAGATTTCCGTGGAAAATAACTTTGAAATTTTTTTTTTTTGGGGTAAAATTAAGACCAATTAAAAATCTCTCAAAACAGAGAAAAATATGAACTTTGCACATATGTAAAACAAGTTTCAACTGACTTTTCCCAAATACCCCACCATGTGGAGTGTCGATTTCCCTATACCAGTCCCTTCTCCAATCACTTGCAAACCATTTGTAGTCTTCTGGGTTTCCATCATTCTGAGCCACTGGCTAATTTATGTCACTTGTAACAATGTCATGACCACTAAGGATTTTTCAAAGACTCCTGAAAAATAAGAAGTGAATAAAACAATTAAAGAAAAATTAGACTGAAGTTTGGGACCAAAAAAAAAAAAAAATCAACAACAATGAAGCTTGCATAATTTGTGGAAAGTAATTCAGAAGAGTATTTCCTAAACTGAAAATACTTTTTTTTGTTCTAGTGCAGACTGTGAATTCAAAACTTTAAACTAAGAACTACAGGAACCCAATCCTGCTCCTGTTGACTTGAAACTGACTAGAATAAATATACATCTCCTCAAGATGCATGACGAAGTTAGGTTGAATTGCAAAGTCATCAATGCAGTATCTGTCCTTCAGCCACAACTGCTCCCTTTTCATTACTTCAATGAAAAACATTTTCTCCCACACCATGATGTCCTTTCAGCCCTTTATACAGTACAGCAACAACTCCTTACAAAAAAAAAAAATTCTCCAGGCATTCTTGAGACCATAAATACTAGTTCAAGCTAAACCTACTTACAATACTTGGCAAGAAGAGACCCTACAGAACTGCATGGAATGCCAAAAGCCAACCAAGCATGAACTAAAAAAGCACAACAGAAAAACACAACCACTCAGATTTCAAATCAGACCCCCATGGCAACTTAAGAGTGGGTCAAAATGAGATGACATCCTATCTAAACCTTCAGTGTGTCCAGCAGCCCTTTTCAGAATTATCAGTCTGCAGCATATAGAGGCAGTATTCCCTGATTGATGAAACTAATGGTTGTAATAGAAGGCAAGAGCATAAAAATAATAATCCATGTCCCTTAGAGCACATTTAGCTTTCCAAGTAATGTTGTAGGGTGCCCATGAAACAGCATGGGCTCACACAAGGTGAAAATTAATGAATTAGCTCAAGGTATACAAGCTTGTTGGAGTGTAAAGGAAAGACAAGCACCCCAACTTTTCACACAGCAGCAACAGCACTATGACACTGCAACTCACCTCTGTTATCATATATTTAGTCTAGCCAGGAAGTTGACTTGTTTTATACAATTACAAGTTGTACAGATAAGAACCTTTATCATAGGCTATATCATACTATAATACATAACTTTATTTTTCAAGGGACTTTTAGTAGATTCCTCAGCATGAAGCAGTCTCAGCGCTCCAGAGTAAATAAAAAACAGATCACATGACAGAAACTCCTGAGAAATTTCTCACCAAAAAAATTCACCACACACTTAAAAGGTTAGTAACACTAAGAATCTGCAGGTTATTCTGTTTTAAGCATGTTCCTTGGTTTTATAAAACATATGTATTTCTTTGCAAGGCCCTGTTTACACTATCAGCTCTCTCAAAAGGAAATCAAGTTTTTGTTTTTTTCTGGTTGTGTTCAGTTTCTGTTTCTTCTGCTGTTCCTTTTAAAGCTTAAATACTGAAATTTATAAGATGTTCTGAGACTTACAATACCTCCCCCAGCTATAGTCACCCAGCCAATAGTACCACAATATTGAAATAAAGACTTTTATTTCTTACTAATATAATAACATTTAAAGAAAATTAATTATCCTTTTAGTTCAAAGACCAACACTATGAGCAAATAAAATAGGTCTGCCAGTACTAGATATGTAGAGTGGTACCAAGAGGCGTGCCTGTACTCTTCAAAGTTTCTAACATTACAGGAAGGTACTGGTGATCTTTGCACAATGTACAAACACTGAGCATCAGATCAACCCTGCCAAGAAAAACAGCCAAGCAAAAGACTGCTGCATCAAGTACTGCAACAGCTCATTGCAGCCACGTGCAGTAACTGCATTACAGACGGGCAAGTACAGAGGAAGGCACACTCAGCCTTACTAGGGCATGTTCTAAACAATTAACGCTGCTTTCCTTCTTTAAGTCTGCATATTGAAAAATGTTATGCAAAATATGCTATGGATGTGACTAAATTATCATCATGCTGTGGCTACGCTTCCTTGACCAGATCTAACTATTGCTGCTGCAAGATAGGGGCATCAGTTTTCTCTTTATTTCCCTTCCCCCCACTTTTCCTGACAGCTCATGTCCTCATCAGACTTTTTATGAACTAAATGAACTCACAAAACAGCAGAAAACTTAGTAAAGAACAAGTTTTTTTGCTATTCCATGTAATTAAATTGGCCTGTGAAAACTCCAATGACCTAGGGAGGGCAGAAGATAGAAAATAAGGAAAAGATTAATAGAGACATATGGCCTTGAAATAGAACTGCTAAATGCCTAAGGAACTGGCTGGATGGCCACATCCAAACAGCTGCAGCTCAATGTACCAAGCACAAACCAGTGGAGTCCCTCAAGTGCCCACAGTGGGACCAATACTGTTTATTATCTTCAGCAAAGAGACACAGACTGTGGGATCTGGATTTTGCCCCTCCAGTCTGCTCTGGTGAGACTCCCCCCAAAGTGCTGGGAACTGAGTAATGATGTGGACCTGCTGGAGCAAGTCCAGAGTGCCTCTCCTATGCAGAAATGCTGTGAGAGCTGAGATTGTTCAGCCTGGAGAAGAGCAGGCTCTGGGGAGATCTTACTGCAGCCTTTCAGTAATTAAAAAAGGCTTATGAGGAAGGGGTAGAGGCATTTTACTGGGATCTGTGGTGATGGTACAATGTGCAATGGTTTTAGATTTAAAGAGGGCAGATTTAGATTGGATTAAAGGAAGAAATTCTCTACAATCAGGATGTCAAAACTCTGGGAGAGGTTGCTCAAGGAAGCTGTGGATGTCTCATCATTGGAAAACTTTCAAGGTCAGATGGGACAGAGCTTAGAAGAACCTGGTCTGGTGGAAAGCATCCCTCCCCACTGCAGGGGGGTTGGAACTAAATGATCTTTAAAGGTCCCTTCCAGCCCAAACCAATGCATCAAACAATTCTACAGAAAAAGGGACCTAGGCCTTTTTGACAATAACTGTACCTTGTGAAACAGTACTTTATGAATTAGAATCAGTTACAAAGTGCAAAAAGCAGGCAACAACAGTGGTTACACTACAGTGAAGAGGACATCTCCTTGTTTAAAGGCTAAAAGGGCATTTAAAAATAACCTTTTTGTAAATCACCTTAAAAGTCTTGTTTCCTTCATCAAGGGGATATTGAAAAGATTAAAAGAAACAAATGCAAAGAAAAAGAAAGTGATGTTACCTTTCCATTCTTTACACAATAAGAAATCAGAGTACTAAGGTTTTTCTTTATCTGAGGTCATAACTACAAATATCCAGATCCCAGTCCCTCCCTCAAAAATTGACAATTTTGGCCACAAAATGCATTTTGTTACATGCAACGGTAATATTGTTCCTGTGAGAAAGCAACTCTCTCTTCAGCCCAGCCTGTAAGTACTGGGCAGAACTGCAAGGCTCCATGGTGTAGGAGAAAACGTGAATTCCCTTCCTGAAAATAGCCTAACGTAGACTAAGCAAATAAAGATAAATCTGATGACATTGCAAAACGAACCAGCGTGCAACATCATTACTCCACTGTTCTAAGAGTTTCTTCTACAGGCAGACTTCTCTGAGATGTCCACATATTAAATGTGTGTATGACAAGGGACAGGGACTACGCTTTGCTGGCAAATCATTCAGTCCTTCTGAAACAAAAAGGTGAATGTCCGAAAAACACAGCCTGAACTAGTGCAGTTTATTTATTATAGCTGCAGCGAAGAGGCAAAATTTCAGGAAGGCAGGCGATCCGTGTCCCAAGGCAGTGGAAACGAGAGGCACGGGGGTGTGGATGCCACTTAACGAGGTCTCAGGGCAGGGCCGGCCCAGTGCGGGGCTGCTGCCCTCCCTCCCTCCCTCCCCGAAATGTGCTCGGCTTTTTCAGGTAAACCTATGGGTAAACTGCCTCCTGAGCTCTTATTCCACATCCAGAGTGATCCACACGCTACTGCAGAGGGAAAAAGCGTTCACAGAGTTAATCGCTGAGCACTAGAGAACCGTGCCAGGGGCAGATGCGAGCGGACACACACACGCGGTGCCTCCCCGGGCGCCTCTCTGAGGAGCGAGGCGCGGAAGGCCCGCACCCTTCCCCGCGATGCTACTGACATGAAATACTCAGTCGGCATTTCGGGACCCGCGACACCCCCCCTGCTCTGCGCCCCTCTCGCACCGAAGGGACCGGGACAGGCTGGGCCCGCCGCTCCCGGCACCAGCCGAGCCCCGGCCCGCTGCGCTCGGCGGCCCCGCTCTCACCTGCAGCCGCCGCCGCTCCCGGCTCCCGCCGCTACCCCGGACCCCGCCGCGCGTGGCCTCCGCCGCCGCCGCTGCCCGCCCGGTCGCTGCCGCTGCGCAGCTTCCGGCGCGCTCCCGCCTCCATGCGGGCCCGGCACGCCCCGCTCCCGGCAGCCAGCGCAGGCGGAGCCACCGCCGGGCGGGCCCTGGGCCGCGCCGAGCGGGGCCAGCAGCGCCCGAGGTATTTCTCGCTCCCTCCCCCTCTCCTCCGCGTCCTTCCGCCCCGCTCCGTCACTCACGCGGCGCGGTGGGAGGGCACGGCGGCGAGGGCCGGTCCTGCGGCGCCTCCCCGGGCAGGGAGGGGCCCGCTCCTGCTGCCCCCCAGCCGAGGCCCGGGAGGCGGCGGCCCCGCGGCGCTCGCCCCGGTGTCGGGAGGGGCCGCGCCGCCGCTCGGCGCGGTGCCCGGGGCAGGGAGCTGATGATTAACCTGCGGCCATTGAGTGCCTGCCTAAAGTCGCGCCCAGGGTGGGGTTTAACCTTGTCCGGGGCTCGGTGCCTCCCGTGTGACTCTGCCCGAGACCCTGGGGCGGCAAGTTTTGCTGCTGCCGCCGAAGCGCTACAGGGATGCGCAGCTCCCTGTTGAAAATCTCTGCTCTAAATCTCAGCCTAGAGCTCGCCTCGCAGTCGTTTTTGGAAGTTTCAGGCTCAAGAGGTCGAGGTGATGTGGGGGTCTCGGCGAGCGTCTGTGCAGCAGCAGCAGCCTCGGGCTGCGGGAGTGTTTGTGACTGGCACTTGAATCCATGCTGGCCCCTTTTCCTCGGGCTGAGCTGCAAGGAGCTCAGCAGCTGCGGCATTTAGGTCAGTGCTCCGCGTCTCTTGCGTCAGGAAAGCTGTCAGTGCGGCCCCAGCCTCCTGCTCCCCGCGGCTGCAGGAGCCAGTGAGTCAGGAGATTGTTCCAGTGATAGCACAGAAAATCCTTCTCTCCTCCTGCCTGCCTCTGCTTTCCTGACACGCTACTCCTGGTTGCGTTTTTAAAAAGCGCTTAGCCCTGTATAATTTGCATCGCGAAATGATGTGTTACTATAATGGGTCCGTCGTAACATCCGTAATCTAATTTTTTGCTGTAGTTATTCCTTTAATTTATGCAGCAATGTTGTCAAGGTTGAATTAATGTTTGAGAGTATTTTGTTCTATTTGGAGGAAGTTTTATGCCTGACTGGAGAAATACTGCAATGAAATTTGTGAAGAATTATGTCACGAGTGCTTCTTTTTTAGATTGATGTTGGGGTTTGCTTCATTAGTGCTTTGATTTTAGTGCAAGTTTTACCTTTTCCCAGGGGTAACTGAGTCGGCCGTTTTGTTTTGGCCTTCCACAAACTTTTGTTTCAAGTGTGTACAGCCTAAGAGATGAAGTGGCAAAAGGCGTTTACTTGTGTGTGTTTGTGCTCTGGAAGGATTAAATAGGTGTTCTTTGCTGCTTGTTAGCAGGGGCTGATTTTGAAAAAGCTCTAGGTACTAGATCCCAGTTCTCTGGTAAATTAGAATTCATTACTCAATACTGTTAAGACTTTTTAAACTGCCTAATGCCTCCATTCTCTGCTTTGTCTCCTCCCTTCCACCTCCAACTTTTTTGGTAAATTAACTTATATTTGGGGACAGGCATTTTTAGCAGGGTCTAGGAAGAAATACTTTACAATGAGGGTGGTGAAAAACTGTCAGGTTGCAGAGAAGTGGTAGATGCCTCATCCATGGAAACATTCAAGGTCATTTGGGCCAGGACTCTGAGCACCCTGGTCTTGTAGATGTCCATGCTCATTGCATGAGGTTGGACTAGATGAGTTTAAAAGGTCCCTTCCAACCCAAAGTATTCAATTATTTCAGGTGTTTTTAAGGTACCCCTGGGTACCACAGTAGGATTTACTGGTGTCCTTTATCTTTTTTCCTCCCTGACATTCAAGGAAATTTCCTCCCTGATTAAAGGAAAGCTCCTCCCACAGACAGAATCCAGAACCTGAGTTTTTCCATATGCTTAAGGAACAGAATTTGTGTGTTGGCAAAGAAACTGATGTTTTCATCTCATTTTACCATAGAACTTCATTTGTCCTGAACAAAAGAGTCCTATAGTAATAATTACTATGTGATGCCAACTCTGCAGTCACGAGGAATTGATTTGAGTGTTCCAGATGTGGACTGGTAATGACTTTGGGATCTAGTTAGACTGCTGTTTGCTCAAATGGAGCTTTGTCTTGCATGTTGTGTCAATTTGACTAGATTTGGTTTCGATTTAACTAACAGTGCATGAGCACATGGCTTGTTTCTTGTTTTATCAATTTCTATCTGCCTTTTGAAACTTTTTTCACAACATAGAAAAAATTAGGAGGGTTTTAAGATACAATTTTTGAAGTTCCTTTGGTTCAGGCAAGTGAATGGACATCCATGTCTGATTTAACTTCCTGAATCAGGGAATCATCCTCTTGTTGCACTCTGTTCAAGCATTGTTTGCCAACTTTGTGATTACACAGACACAGTGAAGACTCAGTCTCCCCTCAAACCCCAAGGTGAACTCTTGAAATGAGTGTTGTTTAAGGCTTGATATATATATACACACGTGTGTGTGTATATATATATATATATATATATATATATCTGTATGATGTATATATGGGTATATATATATCTGGTGCTTTCAAAGAGTAACAAATCTGTACAAGAAACCATTATCTGGAACATAGTTGAGAATGTTGGGAAAACAATATTCAGGGCATTTATTTAGAAAATTGTACTTGGGCTGTGAGTGTATGCTATTCATGTGTGTCTTCTAAAAATATTTTCACATGCAAATTACACACCGGCTGGCTGCTCAGTTCTAACCATGTTGTTGCTGCATGATGATCTCTGAGAAACTGAGAATGGAGTGGGAGGTACCAGCTGAAAACTTTTGCTTTAAAGGTTTTGTTTCTTGGATTTTATTTCTGCTTGACTTTCCTCCTTTTTCCAAAACCTAAGAACATTTCCAAAATGGCACTTTGCAAGTTTAAATTTCAATGTAAGAATAATAAAGTAATGATTTATATGTGTACCTCTTTTTCTCTGTTTAATTGCTTAAATATATTGATTATGTTCTGTTTTTCGAGTACAGGTCACAAGAAAACCATTGTCTCACTTAGATTTTTTTTTTTGTATATGAAGACCAGGTGACTGTGATTGGAAACTTTTTTGCATTCCTCAACTATTTTTAAGCCCAAAAATTAGTAACATTACTATGATATATACACATAGTATCCTTTTGCTATTGCACTGCAGTACTTTCCCAAAGGGAGGGAGATTTTTTCTGAGAGAGATTCTAAAATAAGAGACCAGGTTTTTTTTGTCAACTGCTGCCCGTTTAAACCCTTTATTTTTTCTGGTGTAAAAACCTGTTACATTTTTATGACTCATTTTCAAAAGTACAGGAAAAAAAAGAAGTGCTGCATTTTTCCCTACTATGATGCCTGTAGCCTTGACAGAGCAGGAGAAATCTATATATTGCTCTGAGGTAAAGGTAAATTTATTTTTTCTTCTTGGATCTTATGAGAATGCCTCTTATTTTGTCATCCTTAACAGGAGTGTGTTTTTTGCTGTATAGAAAGAGAGAAGCTTGACACCTGATGCAGTGCTTTCTGCAAATCACTGCAAAGATTTCCATTTGGGAATTGTAGCTGGCCTTCAACATAATTTCTTATTTTTCATACTATTCTTAAGTTATTTTACCTCCATTTTCTACAGCCTGTAGGCTTCTGACCCCTTTCTAGTAGGGAACAACAACCAAGAATTAACTTAGTATCTCTTGTGTTTCCAGAAATGAATTATTTTCAGGAATCTTTCTAGTGGGGAAATACCAGTGATGAAATGTTGTTTCTGAAACCCGTGGAACGCTGATTGCTATCTGATATGATCATGGTGGTTATGTTGTGCATTTGTGTCCTTAGGAATCTTCCAGTAGTTAGGTTATGTTTCTGTGGTGTTGTGTTGCTACTCTTGTGAAAATCAGCAAAAATAGAAAATACAGCTTAATGTTGATGGAAGGATTTGGATAGGACTCAGAATGAGGTAATACAGCAACAATCAAACAAAATTCATGTCTCTGTAGTGACCAAGATATTGGCTAGCTTGATGTTAAGGATTTGAAAAACTGATGTGGAAGTTTGGAGTTGCATTGGTTAAAAGACTTACTAAGTAAGAAGGATTACAGCAAGCCAAGTGCTTTGAAATTAAATGAACAAATAGTTAACACTTGCCCGGATGTGATATGCTGGTTTCTGGTTTCATGCATTAATTGCTCTTTTAAGGCAGGTTATATTTGACTCTCCTTTTTGTTTGGCTCTTATACTGTTTTTCTCTTCCTCTGTATGGAGGTCTGGAATTTCTAAGGTGGTTTTAGGTTTAACTGATTGACTTATAGCAGAATTCCAAGATGTATTATCAGTAAAGTTTAATTCATTTTGAGAATAGTGATTTTCAGCAGTAGTTGCTAAAGACAGTATTGTACAGGAATTTAGGAAAACTGTGATGGTGTAAAAGGTGCTATCACTCTTTTGTGTGTGTTTATAAAAGGGAAATTAATACTAAATTATATCTATGCAAGTACACAATAATTGATATAATGACACTTTTAAAAAGAATCTTAGTTGTTTCATTCTGTTTTCAAAGTAACTTTAAAGGCTGTTTTGTCTTCTTGAAAAAAGTAGTGGTAATCAAACATAATAGTTAAAGTTGAACCCTTGTGAATCTTGAGAAAAAAATTCTAAATATCTTGGCTGCAGAACCCACTTCCTATGTTAGCAGAGCAAGGAATATTAAGTAACACACTCGCTGTCTAAGAAATTTGCCTGTTCTTTTTACACTCCATGATGTGCTTGAAGGTATTTTTCCTGTATTCTGGTACTTTCAGAAGGGAGAAGTCTTTTCAAGTAGACTGATCCTAAGTTTGTAAGATGTCAATTGGTACTGACAAAGGAAAATGATCCATTTTGTGAAATTTTGAAAGTGACAGATTTTCCATTCTTACTTACTATTTAAACTTATACTGATGTAGCATTACCTGTCCATTAGAGACTTCAAGTACCCTCTGCTACTTGAAGCACTTGAGCTACATTTTATCACCATTATCTTGTGGTTCTTTTCCTATTTAGTCTTGGGGGTTTTTGCTTTCTGCAGTCCCCTTTGATTAAATGTCCTTTGTAAGGACGCTGGTATTGTTACAGCCACTTTACACTGTGTGTGAACAGAGGCTCCAGCTCCTGGCATCTCTTTCCAGTGAGTGCTGTGTAGATTCAAACAAAGACTGATGCTTATTCTGAAGAGTTTCAAATGCTTGTCCTGTCTCCTATTTCTAGAATTGCCAAAATATTGCATACTTCCCTAATATTTCACAGAGTTGCTTGAGTCTAAAGAGTTTGTTAAAGTTGGTGGGACTAATTCTGTGTGAGCTTAAATCCCTTGCAAAATCTTTCTTGTTTCTGAGTTATCCTGTGGTGGTTTTGTTTGGTTTTCTTAATGCCTGAAAAATTTATTTGTATACGAAGTAATTCCTTAGGTTGGGCTAATGAAAGAAAATCATTTATCTTTATTAAAGTATAGGACCTAGATATTTTTATGTGGCAGTTTTTATTTGCTTCTGGTGCTGAATCACCACATGATTTTGTTATGCTAGGTGATGTAAGAATGCATGTAGCTCTTAACCCTCAAATAGGAGACATTTTGGGCCTAGAGACTACTCCCCTTTTCTAAATAAATTATTTTTTGAAATCTCCAAACTGTTTTTAGAGCATTTTTTTCTGTAATTCTTGGACCCTGGATTGACAAGGGGTTTAGGGATG